ACTATGCACAAACGATGAGCAATTTTAAGGTTAACAACTAGAACCGCAAAATGGTTCAGACTAATACATTTGGGTAAGTTTATCTTGTATATAATAAGACGAGGATAAGGTGTTTGAGGAAATGATTCTATCACAATGTAACCAATTGATACGCATCTTCCTTGCCCTCTGACCCTTGTGTCTTATCACCAATAATATGACACCTTCTTTTTAGCATATGATTTTCATTCCAATAGGGTCCATACGTCACAAGGAATAGAGGCACCTACTTGGTCCTTCCCCTCTTCTCTTTCGTTTTTCAGAAAAGGTGCGGTTCATGCAAGTGAAATAGTAGAACACTGTTTTTATTGCGACTCAGAAAATGGCCCATTGACCAATGGAATGGTTGAGCCGTGACAGGGAACGAGGGACATTGATAAAGACGAAAAAGAACATGACAAAACAAAATTTGAGAAGATTGGCTTTAAAAGTTGAAGATTCTATTCAGACTTATTCTCCTGTTACAGAATTTTGTCTGAAGAAACTATATCTGTATAGTTTGTAGGTGATAATAATAGAAGATTATTGATTTGGATGAATCATAACAGAGTACGCATTATCTATCTACAAATAAAACGAGCAAATCATTGATAAGGAGTGAAATTCATGTCACCTAGTTACTTATTCTGAAATAACACGTAATAAATTCAACAAAGAAAAATTCATGTGAAGTTCTGATGGGAAGAAAACTTAAGCTTATCTTAGAGAAAATTATTGTTGGAAACATATCTAAATCATAACAGTGTCCGAATCTGAGGATAATTTCTTCTGATGATGATATTTAACAAAGAAAAAAAATTGTTTTAATTGTCTTGTCTCTTGTCTATTGGTCGTAAAGTTAACCACATCATCGTTGGCTTCCTAATGGACACTCATTTCATGGCTTAAAATGGATAATTTAAGGATAATAACATCAAGGAAAATAAACCCCTTGATGCAAAGCAATGCCTACCTACTAACAAAAGGTCCAAAATATACCTTTTTTTTTTAAAAAAAAAATACAACTAAATCACTTAATCACCACAATGACTCAAATGTTACCTTATATGGGTTGTACACATAAGTAAACCACTAAATCGGATAAAAATAAGGAGTGAGGGACATACAGAAATAATGAAATTTCAACTCCTGAATGATGTAAGATTATTATATGTGATAGGAATAGTATCTATGTTGAAAATAACAATAATTACATTGTATAACTTGGAATTCACGAGAAGATTTAATCAAGTATCAACTATCCATAAGAAAAAAAGATAAGTGTAGGGATATGTTTTGAACAAAGAAAGAGAGTTCGATAGTTCTCTAGAAAAGATACAAGAGAGCCACCAAAACAAGTCTAACCAAGGTAAAGTGTGATATCCTTTCTCAATGTAATATAATCTGATTTTTAATTTAATTATAATTTAATAAATAAATATATTATATTCGAATCTTGATTGAAGAGATATATACTTATATATATATATATATATATATATATATATATATATATATATATTTTAACTTACAATGCAAATCTTCTAATGTTTAAAGACAGAAAAGGAATTTTATTTATTTTTTATTTTTTATCAATACTATTATTAATCTTCATGTAGAAAGAGAACATAATTGGTTTTTCTAGAATAATAAGCATAATTGTGATCACTTTTTTTAAGAAAAAAGTTTAGAATCTTTTGTATTTCTATTTTTTAAAATAAAATTCCAAAATTTATTTTTCATACACATTAAAATAAGGGTTAAATATGTTTTTAGTCGTTAAATTATTGGTCGTTTCTGGTTTTAGTCCCTCTTTCAAAATAAGGTACAATTTGGTCTACATTCTTTTCGAAACTTTGGTTTTAGTCTTCGAAAACTAACGCCGGTAAAAATGTGCTAATGTGTCTAACGTCTCTGTCCACGTGTAATTGCTTTTTTGCTGACATGTGGATAAAGGCGTTAGACACATCAGCACATTTTTAACGTTAGTTTTCGAAGACTAAAACCAAAGTTTCGAAAAGAATGAGGATAAAATTGTACCTTATTTTGGAAGAGGGACTAAAACCAGAAACGGCCAATAGTTTAGGGACTAGAAACATATTTAACCCTTAAAATAAAGAAGTGAAATAAATCTAAGTCACAACATATAAAAATAAAATATAAAGATTATTTTAAATTGACCAAAATATATTTTATTATATAATACATGGATTTTGTCATTTGGATATAAAATAAAATAACTTAATAACATGTCATCTTGAGTAATATTTATTTAAATACTTAAGATCACACTCTAACTACAAAAATCAAATATTTATTTATTATAAAACTTATCATTCCAAAATAATACTTTGAATTATTTTATCATGTTATAATAAATAAATGAAATAATAAATATCAAAATCAAGCAATGAATAGAAAAGACAAATACATCATTACAAATAAATATAATTAATTAATTAATTAATTAATTAATTAATTAATGAGGTTAGAAACATTCACTAAAACTAAATATAAAAATATATAACATGGAACTAGAAATAATAATTATAATTATAAAATAAATAAATAAGATAATTATTGTTTCATTATCTTATTAAAATATTTAAAGAAAATAAATTTCTATTATTCATAATATTTTTGTTATTCTCATATTATTTCTTTTTTCTTGGAGAGGATGTAGATTCGAACTTTTATACCCAATTTAGTAATCATTATTTTTTTATTTTAATTAAAACTATCAATATAATGGAAACTTGTATTCAAACGATCGGTTTAGTTTGTTGCATTAGTAATAGATAAAGGTATTTGTAAAAGATAACGAATATGTCAACTTATCCATTATTTATGACACTATTTATAATTATGTCTTTTTTTCTGTCTCTCAGTGAGTCACTTCAATAAATTATATTATTTCAAATATAATTATCATTACAACGTCGTATTAAATTAAAACTCTAAAAATTCATTATAGTAATCTTATATATAACCTTATTCTTTAAGTTATTTCTGCTATGAAACAAATAATAAAACAGTACATATATATTGGTAAACAAGTCGTTTGATAATAACATTTAAAATTTATATTCGATATGAACATTGATTTTTTCTCACTTATACATATTTTGATATGAATTGTTGATGACGTCAATTATAAATAAATTGACAAAATAATGTTGATTGTATTAAATAACTTTACTTTTCCCTCTATTTATGAGCTTTTTGTTCGTGTATGAAAAAACTTAGAGAAAGATGGAGAAATAATTTAAAGTTTTTATCACTAAAGTCTATATTGTGATATTTCACGTCAATAATAAATTACGTTAAACCGGTAAACGTAAAATCATAATTTAGTACCATTAAAGAATAATGTCAGCATTAAGTCGTTAATTAATGTAACTGAGTGTAGGAAAAAGTTAAAGAAAAAAGTGATTAAGATTTTTGAAATGCTTCCAACCAAATAAACATATTAATAATTTGTCAAAATGGATTTGGTTCAGTTTGATCTGACTCATTATAAATTAATCAAATCTGATTCACTGTATATTGATGAATAAAACGGATTGAATCACTTAATTATAATTTTTTTAATTACAAAAAATAATTCTTTTTAATTTAAAATAATAATTCTTTTTGTAATTAAAATATAAATAAAATTTAATATAAAATGTTGTTAAACTTAAAATACAATATAAAATCATAAAAATATAATATAATCTAAATATATTTAAAGATATGAAACCAGTTAATTTGGTTTTTTATTATAATTTTACACTTAAAATTTATGGAATGGATGAATTATATATCAACTTAACTTAACTCACTGTTAATTCAATCCAGGCAAAATTTTTAATAACTCGAATTGATTTTTGACACGTACGAAAATTTATAATTTTTCTTAAATCAATCCAATTTAAACCCAACTTACATATTTGAATCCGTTTTGATAATGTATTATAAATTATAATGGGTTATTTGATTATTATATGTACCACCTGCTAATAACAAGATAAGCCATTTTCATGTGTTCTTATGGCCCACCACTTTTAATTGCCTTCTGATATTTATCTATTAATTCCTTCCAGCCTCACAATTTTCAATACAACACTTCTGCTATGGACACCTCACATTTTTTTCTTTTTCAACCCTTTAATCTCACAATAACTGTGCCCAAAAACTAAACTTAAAATTAAATTCATGCTTTCGATTTTAAACATTGTATGAAAAACAACCTTTTCAGAAGAAAACAACACCGAACACGTATCGCTGTTCTAGTGGATATATGTACGACAGATATCACTACACAAGGCGCTTTACACAAGTTTTCAAAGTCAACCAAACAAAATCACTGCATATATATCTTCTCTTCGCTCCGATTCACATTCTCATTTATTAATTTCTAAAAATACAAAATAAGAATAACTTATTTATGAAATGATAATGAACTTGTTGCTTGGTTTGTTTGGAAAGTTGTATTGTTATATAAAAGAGAAAAATCAAACATGAAAAGTTGTGACATGCACACATCCAATTTGCTGAGCATGCGATTTATGAACATTAATATTTATATAATCATGTCTATCCGAATCACTTGCCACTATCCCTTTTTTTCTGGAAATTTTAACTTTACTATTTTATCCCAAACAGAACATGTTCCAATCGTATTAAGCGTCAATCCAAATCGTATCTCCACTTTCAATTAACTATATCCCTCTATAATCTTTCCTACATATACTCATTCGATTTTAAACTTTTAATAAGAATAACAACTTTTAATTTTAATATAAATTTAGAAAATAAAAACATATTTAATTTTTAATTAAATAAAAAGAATACAAATCCAGTATTATAAATATAAAAATAATTATGGTTGTAATAAGTTATGAATTTCTAGGCAGAAAGGAAATTAAATAGAATTTAATTGACAGTTAGATAAAGTGTTAAGATGTGAAGAGATGGTGGAGTTGTATATATATATATATATAGATATGGAGAGAAAGAAAGGAAATTACAGAAGATATAGTAATATCTGTAGAATCAATGGGTTCTCTCCCACACGTAGTAGAGGACTGTTTGGGGTTTCTGCAACTCTTTAGCGACGGTTCTATTTTCCGTTCAAACGATATAGAGTTCAAAATATCAGCAGTTCAAGATCATTCCGTAACCTTCAAGGACTATCTCTTCCACAAGAGATTCAACCTTTCTCTTCGCTTCTACAAACCCCAACACGTGACGCTCAACACCAAGAAGCTTCCTATTGTCATTTTCCTTCACGGTGGAGGCTTCTGCTTCGGTTCGCGCACCTGGCCCCATATTCACAACTGTTGCACGCGCCTCGCCGCTGGGCTCCAGGCGGTCGTCCTCTCGCCGGACTACCGCCTCGCGCCGGAACACCGCCTTCCGACGGCTGTGGACGACGCGGTGGAGGCGGTGAGGTGGCTCCAGAGGCAGGGACTGAGACTGAAGGAAGATGAAAACGGTGGGGACGCCTGGCTGAGTGCTGACGTTGACTTTGACCGCGTGTTTGTCGTCGGTGACTCCTCTGGCGGGAACATTGCCCACCACCTCGCGGTTCGGTTGGGGTCCGGTTCGAGTGAGATGGACCCGGTTCGGGTACGAGGTTACGTGTTGTTTGCGCCGTTTTTTGGCGGGGAGGTTCGAACCAAGTCCGAGGAAGGTCCACCAGAGCTCATGCTTAACCTCGAGTTATTGGACAGGTGAGGCTAAGCACTTTTTTCTCCCTTCATTCCAACCTAATCATATATATTACATTATTTTTCCTTACCAAAAGTTTAATCTATGATATAAAATTTTGAAAGATTAACTAATCCATAATGTATACAAAAGATCTATTTAATTATGAAAAGATTAATTTCGAATAAATGTTTAAAATTGTCATAAAATGCCGGCTCAAAATATTCTCGACAAACTCACATATAGAATATATTATAAATTGATGAAATGACAAAAAATTGGAGTCCCATAAAAATAATGAAAACGATTTTTTCTTTGATGAGATTTTAACTACAAATCAACTATTAAAAAAGTTGCATAAATAGTGAATAACCCTTTTAAGGGACCTAAAAGTTTGGAACCCCCCGATGATTTGGGCAGATTCTCTTATTATTGGATGATACTTACCTACTTTCTTTTATTACTTTACTTATATCCTATTTTTCTCTCTCTATTTTCTATCACGTAACCTATTTTTTTCTCTATATATTTTTTCTACTCCAATCCTCACCAAGTAGGGTAGACATTTATAACTTTGTTGAATTGTTGTGTTTGTGGAAAGTCTTTCTTTGTGGATGTTGTGGTTTGAGTATTAGGTTTGTGTTATTGGAAATGAGTCACTTTTAAGCATAGTAATAGGATAAAATTAATGGACCCACTTTCACCACTCTTGCTTTCGTTATGGCCATAAATGGGAAAGGAATATGCTATGATTGAGACTTGCGCTACGCGTGTTTTAAAATTTCCCTACACTTAAATAACTTTGGTGCGCCTTTCGTATTAAAATATATATAATTAAAATTTTGAAATAAATATGTTAACATATTTCATTATTAGAAACACGTGAATGCATTTACAAAAATAAAATGTTAAATTATTAAAATTTAGTAATAACGTTGTATATTTAACATGTAAACAAATTCAAAACATACTAGGGTTTTCAATTCCACACGCGGAAATCAAGATAGCAAAAGTGATTAGTGGTGACACTTGGCTAAACCCTCTTCCACACTTCTTTATGTTACCATCTCGTAGTGATCAATACGATGTATGAAAAAGTTAGACGCAATTAATGTTTTAATTTCAAACCATAAGAGTATTTTTTTTATCCAACATATATATAGCAAACTAAATGCAATATGCCAATTTGTTCATGTATTTAATCCAAGCTTTATCCAAAATATGCTTTGCAACAATTAGAGTTAACCGTTAGAAGTATATTCGTTATGTAGGTGTCAGTTAAATAGAGTGCCCGACAAGCGTAATTGAGAAAATGAAATTCACATACTAAAAAAATTAAATAAAATAAAGGCATTTTAATCTTAAAATTATTGGAGATTCTATATCAATTATACGGATTTACAGTATATAAATAAATATAAACATATATTTTTCTGTGTGTTATATATGCAATAATAATATGTTATTTGGAACAGATTTTGGAGGTTGTCGATGCCTTTGGGAGAATCGAGAGACCACCCATTGGCGAATCCGTTTGGAGCTGGAAGCCCTAATCTTGAAAAAGTGAAGCTTGATCCTATTTTGGTGATAGTTGGTGGCAATGAATTGCTTAAGGATAGAGCAGAAGACTATGCTCGAAGGTTAAAAGAACAAGGCAAAGACATTGAATACCTTGAGTTTGAGGGGTGCGAGCATGGGTTTTTCACTCATGATTCATACTCACAGCTTGGAGAAGAGGTCATCCAAATCCTTAAACAATTCATGCTTCGGACTTCTGCTTGAGTAGAATCCATCAATGGCTTCAAAGCTAATTACGTAATTAGGTTAATTAGTCTATATTGCTTTTAGCCCAGTGAAGTAATAGTTATGGTAATGAATTGTATCCGTCAATTTTATGGTGTGTACGTGTAGTTTCTCAATGGAGATTGTAGTCAATTAAGTACCTTTCTTAGCTGTTAGTGCTATTACTTTTGAATTGTAGTGTGGGAGTTAAAGGTTTATAATACTAAATTTAAGGCTTTCTATTTCCAAATTAATCAAATTTGTATGTCTTTTATTCTTACCAAAAAAAAAATTAAAGAGCAAATAATGAGATTAGACTATATAATTTCACGAGAAAATTTTAATTAGAAGATATTTAATGTATACCTTTGTATAATTATTTATCTTTACGTGGATATTTATTAGAGAGAAATAACACTAATAAAATTATTATAAAAAAATCGTATTTAATTCACGATCACTATTTATTGGTAATAACAAAAATTAGTCAGTAAATTGTGTTCACTGACAAACTATCGATGAACAAAAATTATTAGTAAAGTTTATTGATGGATACAAATTTTGATAAGTACTGAAAACTTCAAATTCGTTAGTAAATATTTGTCATTATTAAATCATCTTATTCCTCTTCCTCTTCTTTTACGTTTATTTTTTTTCTCCTTGTCATTGACTGATTGTTGTATCGTTACCATTACTTTGATTCATTTTCATCCTTTGAGATCTCATCATCTTCTTATTTGTCTTCCCCTTCTTCTATCTCATTTATCTCTATCTTCTTCTTTAATTTCAACCATTACTGTTATTGTTATCGTCATCACCAATTATTAATATCACCGACACATATCATTAACAAGTCTCTGCATCACCCACCTCCAACTAGCTCCTCCTCCTTCATCTTTTTCTTTTTCTCTTTTCTCACACTTCACCTTTAATATAATATAAAACTTCAATTAATTGGGCAAAACTTTTGTCTCCCAAAATATTGATGGATTTATTAGTGAAATTTAATCGTCATAGTAAAACTACTATGGATGTTTTTGACAAATTTGATAGATAAAGGTAAATTAAAGTTTATCTATAAATTATTGCCTCTCAATAATATTTCAATAATAATTAAGAAATTTTTTATATAAAGTCAACTCATATATAAGAAATTTATATCACCTTCAACTTAATACAAAAAAAAAAGTTAATTTTCTTTTATACAGTGTTCAACTTTTTCATGTAATTAATGTGAGACATTGATCATTCTGTGAGTTGAAGAAATAATGGTGGAGTTTTGTTGGCATGCGTGTGTTATTGAGTTTTAGTTTAAGTGTGCAATGTGCATGTTATAATGTTTTGGTGGGTTTGATCTTGAGTGAATAGACAATTGCTTTTTTGTTGTTGATGGGCACCATGAGTGGCGGTCTGTGGACCCATTAAATAAAAGAGTTAGACAAATATTTGAAGTAATTGATATGTGGTATATGCCAATTCACATTTACATTTCTTCTCCATCAAAATACTTCCAAAATTCTGCTGTAATTTGTGATACCAATTGCTCTTATTCATTTCAGGTCTAAAATGCAAATCAATCTTGTTGTGGTCACAATTTTCTAAACATACCCGGATACTAAATTTTACAATTTGTTTAATTATATGTTATTAACCTTATAAATATTTTTCAAATTTAATAAATTTTAATTTTTAAATAAAGTATTTCAATAACCATGAAGTATAAAAAAAAATACAAAGAATATCATCAAACTGCATTAATATCAAAATTCTAGACATTTGACAAAAATATAACAAGTGCGATATTTTTGCAAAAAAAAAAACACAAAATCTAGTTAATAATTAAAAAGATAAAAAATAATAATTTCACTAATATTTATTAAAATACTTATAATAATGTCAATTAAAAAGTTATAATTATCAACGTTGACTAAAAACTTATGACTTTTATAAGTTAAAATTATTTTCAAATGACATCATTAAATCCTAAAATTTCTAACTAGTATTAACTGAAAAGTAATTTTATCGTAGTTGGTCAATAAATGACTTTGACTTACATTCTTTAATGTTTGACATATGATAATAATACAAATCTATATCAACAAAATAAATTTTAACAATGACGATAAAAAATAATAATGACTTAATTTAATTTTTTAAAAAAATCTTTATTTTCACCCAAATCGGTCAAAATTTTATTTCTAACTGCCAGACGGTCTAATCTCGTTTGAGTTTATGACACTCTCTAACCTTACCTAAGTTAAGGACATTTCGGCTAAAACTAACTTATAAATATTTCAACTGAAAAAGAAATATGAAAAATAAAAAACTTCTGAAAAGAAATTTGATATCATTTAATTGATTAAAATACTATCACAAATTCTTATAATTTTAATTTATTTTAGAACTATTTATCTAAATATCATGTTTTATCTTAAAAAAATTAATTATACTTACAAACAAATTATTCTTTAAAATTTCACATATAAAAATATTTTATAATCATCATGTTTTATTCTTAAATGTGGAAGTAAGAACGTAACATTTCACGTTCCCATATATTATACTAAATGATATTAATATCCTTTTTAATTATAAAATATATATGTGTCCACTTATTATTTTAATAAAACGACACTCAAATTTGTAAATAAATACTCACTACCTCGTGTTTTTAGGAAACGATAATTGTAACCCTTATGTTTTAATAAAAGGATATTTATCTCTCTTATATTATTTATAAAGACTAATTTTAAATTGTTTTGTTTATAAATTATTTAAATTTTATATTTAAAACTTTAATCTTTGATCTTATACTTTTTTATTTAAATTTCAATTAATATAATATTTTCAAATAAAGCAAGATAAGTAAATGCCACTTTATTAAATATACACGAAAGAGTGCATTATCATTTAAAAAAAAAATATAAGAAGTGAATACTTATTTAAAAACAAACAACGACGTTATGGTTTTAACGTACTTTTAAAACTATAATAGATACTATAGTAACATGCAGCATAACTTTAATCGAAGTAAATAGAATTTATTATAGTTTTTATACTTTGTACTATCTTTTCTTAACAATTAAAAAAATTGTTAGATAAATAAAGAAATATATCAATAAGACACGGTTACACCTGTAACTTGCTATCTCAAATTAAAAAATTCACCCATCATATTACGTACCAAACAGTTTTTCGTCGTAAAAAATATCTTTCAACTTGAATTATTTTTAATGTTTTTCTCCAAAAAAAAAAATCAAACGCTTTCTATATTAAAACTCTAAAAAAGCTAATTACCCTTTTATATAGAAAAAAAATTATCTGAAATGAATTTTGAGAAAAAAATTAACTTTTATTTTTTTAAAATCTTATATATAAGATAATTTAGAATATATATATATATATAATATAAATATTTTTGATTTTATGAAATTCAAGATATATATATATATATATATATATATATATATATATATATATATATATATATATTTTAGTGTAAAAAAGTAGGGTAAAAAACTCACATCAATTAAAAATATAATCAATCTAGTGTATAATTATAAATACAAATATTAATTGAATTATGTTTAAAATTTATCTCTTGATTGTTTAAAAAAATATAAAGGTTAACATTTTATCGTTGTAATTAATATTTATTTTTACCAATATTATATGTTAATGAAAATCAAATTAAAAAATGATATGAAACATCTCTGTAAGAAAACATTTTTGAAGTCTTATTCTTTCATTGCATGATTGAAATATCTTTTTGTGAGTAATGTGCTTTATCTCAACGTCAACACTCTTTTTGGAGGATCTGCGGTCCGTAAGATACATGCACATATCTTATCTCCAATTATGTTTATAAAATGCATCAATGAGATTAAATAATATTATTTTTTTAAAATGTCAGGTTTCTCTTTTGAACTTAATTTCTTTATTTGGAAGTTTAAGAATGATTGGACATTTTGAGTACAAAGTAAATTAACCTAGCCAACGTAGTGGAAAATCCATAATTTCCACTGCAACGAGCTGCAAAAGTTTGGACAACTTTTTTAATAAGTATTATTATTTTATTGGTTTATGTATTTAAAATGAACTGATAACAAGTTATTATATAGTTATTATATAAGTTGTTATAAAAAAATTGTCACAAAAATTGATAAAAAAACATTTTTTTAAATAGTTTGTGTATTTAATTGTTGACAACAGTTTTGGAGCATTTGAGAGAGTGGTAAAATAACAGACGAAAAGGTGAAGAAAAGGAATGCAAACTCTTTAGAGACGCAATCTTTGAATTGAAAAACATTAAAGAAATAATTGTTGTTGCGCCACTTTATGATTGTGGATGCTTCGGCTAAGTAAACTTCTAGAAATGGGGAAATTCAGTTTCTACTTTTTCCGGCACTAAAAGGAAGATGATAAGCATCGGGGATTAGTTGATAATGATGATACTGTCTCTAACTTCTATCCTCACAGTCGTGTAATTATAGCATCTGTCATTCAAAATCAAATGCAGTCAAATTAGTGGGAGGAGAAGATATATATAATGTTTCAAGCCATTCGCAATCATTATACAAATTGTTATGTCAGCATGTGAAAAACGAAGGATGATGGGTGATTGAACAATTAATAGAAGATGGTAATCATGATATGTTTTAATTATTCTTCTTAAAAAAATTACATTCATTTATATATTATTAATTTATTGTTTTTAATAAGATATTCACGATTGGCAGAACAGTTTACTTTTACACCTCTTCTTTATGTTACACTACAGAATATTAAGAATTGGATTATTCATATTAATAACATGGTGTAGTATTTTAATTAGAGCGAAGCTTCTTTATGGACCTTCAACCATTTTACTCTACATCTTCAAATATTTTTAAAATCCCAAAATTATTTTGGGAAAGAAAATTAAAATTAAAGTAATTTTTTTAGTTTTCTCTTTTTGCAATTCAAAAATTCTACATTTTTTCTTTAACAAATTTTAAAATTTAAATTATTTTATATTTCAAAATTTATTCAAATCTTTAACAAATTTTGAAATTCATTTAAGTATTTAATAAATTTTTGAAATTTGAATGAATTTCAAATAAAATTTTCAATAAATCTTTTAACGAATTTTAAAATTTATTAAAAATCTTTAATAATATATTAACACATCGAAAATGGTTTAACATATTTTT